CCTGCTTTCTTCTGGCCGTGACACTATAAACTGATTTTATGAATTCCTAGTCATTGCTGAAGGTCTAAGAGCAAACACTTCCAGAGTTGTGGACAGAAGACAGAACTCACTCTTGGGTCTGCCGTTTTATTCTGTTCCTGTTTGATTTGTTGCCTGCCTTGAGCCACAGTGCTTCTCTAACTGGGTTCTAATGATATAAATATTTATAAAACAGCCAGAACATATATCTTGTCTAAACAATAGGGATTCTGCCAGGGCAGAATCTTATACATCATTAACTCCCTGACTTCATGGGGGAAAAACTGTCTAGACAGGGATAAGACTTTGAATAACAAATAAAACCAAAGTTTGTTAAATGAAAGAACAATGAGAGGATAACGGTGGTGAATATTATAAAAGTATGCTATATTGCTATATTCATGCATGGAAATGACACAACAAAATTCATTATTTTGTACAATTAATACATACTTAGAAAATAAAACTTTGTACTAGTGATGGTACTGGGAAACACAGTCATACACTGCTAGTGAGAGCTCTGGAGGTGCCGCCCCCTTTCTCTGATCTGGAAAGACCTATAAATACTGCCATCAGAAGCATCGGCCATGCCTGCAAATGACTGAAGCAGGGAGCATGCTGGGATATCTTTGTCTAGGCCAGAAGAAACAAGTTTCTTTTCAAACTAGCTGTGGGGACCTGGAAACTTCAGGTTTTCTGTTCTTATAGTAATGGAGCCAAGATGGATCATCTCTAGAGATCCAGATCTTCTGGGATTTCTATCACAGACAGAAGGCAGTAGCTGGGCTGGGGGTGTGTGGCTTGGTGGTAGAGCACCTGCCTAGCATGTGTTAGGTCATGACTTTGATTTCTGGTGTCACACACATGCACATACAAAGAGGCAGTAGGAACAGAAATGAATTAGAACTCTTGAGAAGCCTAGAAGGGAGTGTGGAGATAACTAGTAAATAAGAAGGTCCTCAAATTTACGTCATGTTTTAATTTTAATTTATTTTTGTGTTTGTGATATACGTTAGTGTGTGTGAGTGATAGCGTGTGTGTGTGTGTGTGTGTGCACGCGCGTGTGTGCGTGCGTGTGTATGTGTTTGCATGTGGAGGCCAGAGATCAATGTTAAGCACTCGTCACCTTATTTTTTGAGACAGGGTCTCTACTGAACCTGGAGCTAACAATTCAAACCAACTGTCTGTGCCTCATGAGTGCTGGGATTACAGAGGTACACTGTTGTACCTGGCATCTTTTAGGCAGATGCTAGGGAATCCAAATTCAGGTGCTCATGTTTGCATGGCAAGCACTTTACCAAATAAACCACCTGCCCAGCCCTTCATATGATATCTTTAAATGTCCTCCTTTTGGAGGGCCTAATCAGGCACAGTTAATTGACATCTCAGGCCTGTTTTCCTGGACTGACCTCATTCACTCCAGAGGACACGCAAACCTTGTATCATCTACCAAAGCAGCAGCAGAAACAATCCAGCTGCTGTTGATGACCAGAGACAGTGGTCCAGTCACTCTGGAGGCCTGAGAACAGTGCTTTCCCGTCTCTCCCTCCAATCATGCTGGTAGGAGTATTAGACCCTGCAAATGCTGTTTTGGGAACTCTCTCCAAAAGTAACCAAACAATGGAGAGGGCCCAACTAAAACCAAATAAATCATGAACACCTTGTTTTCTTTGAAAAATAAGATCAGTAATGTGCAATAACTAACAAGGTCTTCTTCAGACCTGCCATGGTGCATGCAGTTTACGACATTACACTAGTTAGGAACCGTGAGAAAGAGCAAATTCAGAGATGACCAACAGGTACAAAAGCTACTCAGCCTCCCATTCTACCTACAGCAGAAGCTCACAGCGAAGCAGGTAAAGTAGTGAAGAGAATTACAGTCTGTACAGAGGTAGCCTCAGTTGGTAGCAGGGCCAGGCTAGGTGCCAGGCCCTGTCTCCTCCACTCTTTGCTTGGCAGAGACTTGAGCACCCTCTGACAATGATGACATTGAAATTGAAGTAGGCTGTATGTCACAAAAACATGCATATACACAACTGGATCCTTGCTCAGAGACATTGAAAATGTATTTTCACAGCAAACTTTTGAACTTTTATCCTCTCAGCCTAACTGTGAGATTTCTGAAGAGGCCGATGGCATACCAAATTCCCTAAACTTACTGTTCCCGCAGAGCATCATATCCCATGTTTACAACAGCTTATCCTCAGAATTCTCAGGTCCCCCAGTCTATGACCTCAGTTCTTGAAGCATGTTCAATAATGTGACCACATGCTCTCACTTAGCCTTTCCTGCAATAAAAGCAGACCTAAAAGCCTTGATAGCTGATGCTAAGCACCCTAGTGCTTTAAAACCCATTGAGATGCTTGTTGGAAATGACCCAAGAAGCATCCACACCATAGTGTCCAAATATGATTTCCTGGCAGCCATGCTCCTGGAACTCCTGCCTGGGCATTAGCAGGACTAAACTCCCTTGATTTTGGGGAGAAGCCAACTCCTCACATCCTGCCTGGTCTCAGAGAGCTAAGTAGGGCCATTCTATTAACATGCTATGTGTATATCAGTTCAAATAATCTTGGGTGCCTCAGTTTTCCCCACACATGCAGCCAGAGAGGCTGTTAAACATCTTTACGAGGATGTGTTCAACTATGCTATGCTATAAAATTGCAGTGTAATCCTTAGTAGATAGGAAATCACACAGGAGTACTTAGCATCAAGCTGAGGTAATAGCAGCATCCAATGGCTGTGACTGAATGTTTGGAGATTTCTGAAGGTCCAAGTTGTTGAACTATAGGTCTAAGGTGATGCTTTGGGAAAAAAGCCATAAGAAAAAGGGCATGATGGTCTTCCCCTCCTCCCTCTTCTCTTTCTCTCTGTCTCTCTGTCTCTCTCTCAGCAGAATTTATACTTATAGTCAAAATACACCGAGAATAAAATGGATATGCAATGTGTTATCTACAGCAGTTCGCAGTCTACCCATGGCTCTGAGAGTTCATTCAACAGTAGCCTCTTTATACCTGAGTTACAATCCCACTCATTTTACTTTCTGTATGAAGAAAGGTGGATTGGGACACAGGGGCTGGAGCTGTCTCATTTCTAACACTCCAAGATCCTGTATCTTGAACAGATAGATGAAAGTTACAAGATTAAAGGCAGTTTCATATGATGATGGGTTCATCAAGTAGAGCACAGAGTAACAAGGCAGATCTGGTGCGTGGAAAAGACTGTATGCAATTTATTAAAATAAAGGAAACCTCAAGCCTCATCTTGTGATTTAAGAGGAAGTCAATCATGACCAGTTTACAGTTTAACTTGGCTATATCTTGACTAAATTTTAAATACAAAACCATCATTAATAGATTAAAAAGTGGAATAACTATTTTCAAAGTAAATGTTGGACTCCAAAAAAGTTTTATTTCCAATGAGACTATGTTCCAACACAAACCCCAGCACCTTAGCAAAAAACTGTAAGCCAGAGCAGCAGTAGAGAGAGGAGTTCCTGCTGGGGAGAATGTGTGGAGGAGAGCTGGTCACCAGTGGTTATCTGCTCCAGCAATGTTTAAGACTGATTCACTGGCCTCATGTGCTTTAGCTTGTTTACACTAACTAAAACCTGGAAGCTCTAAAGGCAAAAGAAAATAAAAAATATATTATCTTCTTTAGATCTCAATATTTATTACTTATAAACTATATTATTTTAAGTGAAGATAGAGTTTAACAACCAAATAAAATAATACACAGTCTTTTCTTTTGAGGGATGGGGAGCTGACTTAAAAAATTAAAAAAAAATTTTTTTTAAATATTTCTATTGATCCTTTGAGAATTTCATACAATATATTGATCACAGTCAGACCTCCTCCCCCATCTTCACCTCTACTCTAATTCCCTCCCCAACTTCATGTCCTCTATTATTATTTGTATTTTTAAAGGTCTTTTGAGTCTATTTTGTGTTCCCCAAATGAATATGAATTTCAACGAAAGCAGCTTGAACCAGGATTATTTCTTTCAGAACGAGGTACCCCTCCCTTCCCAAAACCCCACCCTAAAATAGAAAAACATGCATCACAACCACACAGGCATTGTTTTCTAAAAAGAGGTAACCTGGGTTGTGTCAAGGCTATAAACAGAAATAGATTTTGCTCCTGGCTAACAGCTCAAACCGTCCATCAGGGTAAAATTAAAGATGTTTTTGGAATTAGTGTGCAGGTAGACACACCCTGTAACCCCCAAACCTAAGATACCAGCTCTGAACTGCCAATATCCACCTAGACTAGCGCTGGAAAACCACAGGGATGGTTTGTCCTTTATTCCTGAGCACAATCAGAATCTGAGCTTGCTTGGAAAACAGTATCAAAAATGAGCAACCTAGACTCTTCAGGATTCTTTTAAAACAGAAATCATTTTCAAGGTGGCAATAAGCTTTACTTATTTACCTGTTTTTCTTGTAGTGCCAGAGATAGAATCTACATTTTTCATGTCTACTTGGTAAGCACCCTACAAAAAAGATATACCCCCCCATCCTGAAAGTTATTATTATTAGTATTGGACACAGGGTCTCACTCTGTAGCCTGAACCAACCTGGAACTCACTATGTAGCCCAGATTGCCCTTGAGCTCACAGCAATTCTCTTGCCTCAGCCTTCTGAGTCCTGGAAGTCCAGGTGTATGCCACCATTCTGGGCTGTAAAGTATTAAATGTACTTAATATCCAGAAGGAAATGCAAGCTCTGTTTATCCTTTGGCATTTAGTCACAAAAGCCAAGCTAATGATGCAGCTGGAGCAGAGTAGGAAGGACATCCTCCGCCAGGCCACAGGCCATGCTCTCAAGCATAAACATAAATTTGTACTGAGTAAAAAGTTAATACTGTCGGTGATCACAGGAGCACACTCGTGTCAGGCTATGACTGCCTTCATTAATGTTATGTGCACTCCCATAGTGTATATATGCATGCGCGCACACACGCACACAGACAGGTCTCTCTTACCTCCAGCATGGGCCTGGCACTGTCATGCACAGACAAAATGTGTGTCACTTTGTTCTTGCTCAACTGCTCCGCATTTCTTGCATCTGCCATCAAAGACAGGGATGGGCATTTTAATATTCTCTGTGAGTTCACAACTCTTAAAAGTCTAGGCAGGAAACAATACAACATGATTTGCAGATTTCTTTCTTGATACTTCATAACTGACCATATCCAGAATAATCTAGATGGGCAGAATCAGGGTCACTGCTTTTATGTACTTTGCCATTATTTATTTAACTGACATAATCTTTGAACTAAAGTATTGTATATAGATTAATATACATGATAATCGAGAAAGCTATTGAAAGAAGGAAATATAAGAAATCACAGTAGAGTGGTATTAGTATGTGTTCACAGGAGGCATGTTTAAAATATTTGAAAACCCAGCCTCCTCTTAATGATTAGTTACCTAAGTTGGAACTAAAAACCAAGGACCCACCTGCTGTACAAGACAAGGAGCGCATGGATGTTTCTTAACCTGAGAGACAGGTCTAGTTTGAGACAGGACTGTGGTTTACAATATCTAGATTCACTTTAGAGTAAAAGGAAACACAGGACATTTCCCCAGAAATTCCAAACAGGATTATCAGTTGGCTAGTAAAGTATTTGCACACGAAACTGAAACAACGCTGTGTCCCGTCCAATGCCCCTACCTGCAGATAGAGGACTAATTTGGGGATACTGAGTTAGACACCTTTGATAAAGTACAAAACAGTAGTCCAGCAAAGAAGGAGGTCCACTCTTCTGAGTTTCTGGTTTCTCAAGTTCTTCCAAGGATACAAGAGAAAAAGAATCTAAAAGCAAGAACTCGATGATGATGATGATCCCGGAGACTACCTGGTGACATGGGAAAATGCTCAGGCCACGTTGAGCAAGAAAGTGGAGGTATCAAGTTTAAAAAACTCAGAAATTTAGTTTGCACAAACATGTAGAGCCACAGAAATTCAGTTTATACAAACATGTATAGTCACACACATAATGTGGCAAGCAGCATACAGGCTTGTTAAGATACAGAATCATTTGAGGCTGTTTATTGTGTACAGTGTGTGTGCACATACGCACACACATACGTGAGCACACACTGCACAGTGATTCTAAATGTTTCTCGTGGTCCAAACTCTCTGTGAGGCATATTATAAAGGACAGTTCCTGGGTTCCAGTTCCTTTCCAGGTCTACAGCCAACTAAGGAATTTACATTCCTAGCAAGCCCTGGTAATGGAGCAGAAATTAAGAAACAATGTTCTATTTTGAAATATCAGTTGACATCTTTAAATGTAAGATTAAAATGTTATAGTTTTGAATCAGAATTCTCTTCTTTGATTCAGTCATTTGAGCTTCAAACTCCAGTGTGCGCGGCAGTGGCCTACATCACACACAGTGGGCTGAGCTTCAGTCGCCCACTACTATCAAAGCTGGGGGTACCGTAGCTTTGAATCACTGTCCTACGGTTTGAGGCTAGAATGTCTCTCAAAGGTCCATGTGTTAAAGGTTTGATTCTCAGGTTGGTGCTACTGGACAGAGGTGGCGCCTAGTTGTAATTCTTAAGTCACATCGGCCATGGCCTTGAAGGGGATGACAGGACACCAGTCTTTTCTGGGTCTCTTTCATTCCCCGCTGCCATGAGCTGAGTGGTGTCCTCCTCCCTACATGTCCAGCATGATGTGCTGCCCTACTACAGTTCCAAAAGCAATAGGCCAACTGACTGTGGATTGAGGCCTCTCCAACAGCAAGCACAGTAAACCCTTCCTCTTTTTTATTACTTCAGGTGTCTGTCACTCCAACACAAGGAGGACTAAGAATTGTTTAGGAGCTGGGTGCCTTTGATCCCCAAACTTTGGAGGCAGAGGCTGATGGATCTCTGTGAGATAGAGGCCAGTCTGATGTCCATGGAGAGTTCCAGGCCAGCTGTGGCTTCAGGGAGACCCCGTCTACATGCCCCCCACCCAAAAAAAGAATTGTTTCAGGGAAAAAATCTTAAAAAGGGCAGGCTGAATGGGTCAGTTGGTAAAGATGTTTGCTATGCAAGTCCAACAAATGGAGTTCAATTCCCAGAACCAACACAAAGGCAGAAGGGGAGAAAGCTGACCCCACAAAGCTGACCTCTGACCTCCACTTGAACACTGTGGCACTCATACCCACACCCGCCACGCATTCACATCAAAACCCCAACTTCCACCAATATGTGAGTTTAGACAAGTGGTGAGACAAGAGAGAACTGGGGTTTCTGGAGCCCACAGAGAGCTCAGGCTAGGAGGAGAGCCTGATGGAGCTGGCTCATGACAGAGCTGGTTCTCAGGTTCTTCCAGATACCAATTCCATCTGAATTTAAATTTTAAAGGAAAACTTGTTAGTATATATCATTTGTACAAAATAAAGAGTTTCATGAGGACATGAATGTATTTTAATCACACTCACCCCATTCCCCACTCTTGTCCCATAGTCCATCTCCTTTCTTTTCACTAATAGTCCTCCTTTTATGTTCAAGTCTTTCTTAATAAAAAATCTAGATTCCATATATGAGACACACACATTTGTCTTTCTGAGCCTGGCTATTTCACTTACCACAATGATCTCTACTTCTACAAGTTTTAAATTTTAACAATTAGTATTTGCCTCTATTTAAAGTTCTTCCTCTATATCCATGAGATCTGTAGTCACAGGTTCAACCAATAGTGGATCAAAAATATTTGAAAACATTGTATCTGGACTGAATACATTGAGACATTTGTTCCTGTCACTGTCCCCTAAACACAGCACAGCGACCACCTATGCAACCTTCATCCTGAATTAGGGACTATTAGTCATTCAGAGATGGTTTAAGTACTAGCAAAGACAGACTTGGGTTCTATGCAAATGCCACACCATTTTAAAGAGAGGACGTGGGTCCATGGATTTTGGAACCCGTGAGGGGTCTTGGAGCCAGTTACCAGCAGATATTGAGGAACAATATACTTAATGCGCTTTTTTTAAACCACAATTTTATTGAGACATAATTCACAATAGTGTCTCAATCTTTTGTACATTCAGAGTGACATAACTATTACCACAACTAACTTTTGAACATTTTCATTACTCGTGAAATATGTTTGATAAGATTACCATTTAACGAAGTGATTTGGGCATAAAATCGTACATTTGTGAATAAAGACGCCACTCTACTACCCATGAGCCAATGAGTTGCTGGCCTTCCAATGAGTTGCTGCCTACTTTCTGCTCCATCACAGTGTAGACAACATGGGTCTGCTACTCTGGGATTACTCTTTCCCATAAGGCACAGGACCGGTCATCCATGTGTAATCCTACCTCAGTGGCATTGGATGATGACAGTGGGTCTTTGGTCCTTACTGAAAAATTACTGGGCACGCTAGATGGAAACCTACAACCACAGCGACTGTGGTAATGAGCTGTGTACACAGGGGTGAGACTCCCTGTCAAGTCTCCAGCTCAGGAACCTGCATGTAAGCCTGTAAGTTCAAAATCAGCTCTTTCTGGATCCTTCAATTAGGTATCACCTAAGTGCTGTCAGATAAGCCTAAACCCAAGGTGTCAATGAGCCTTGGAGGGCCAGGGGTGAATGACTTATGACCTGCTCACTGGCTAACAATGCTAATTCTACCGTTAGCACTATTTCTGAGCCAGAAAACTGTGCAGAGCCCTTTGTAATCACAAATACAAGTCCTTATTAATAAAACCACTATCTAGAAGAACAGATACTGATCTAACCACCATAGTTATTGCAAGGTGTGGAGATATGGGAAGTTTTACTATAACATTTCTAAAAATTACTCAGTGATGAACCCTCATCACTTTTATAATCAGGAATAAGAAAGGAAAAAAATGCTGTTCTCAACTATGAATGCCTAAGTTATGTGAGATAGACAATCCCTCAACGGCAGGTGATAACCACATCTTCTGCTCTCTGTGCCAACACCCTTCCTGGCTTATGGACTCTTGCCTCCTACCTCCATTTACCTCAGAGGCTTCCCACGTCTTCTAAAGAAACAAGTACCTTCTTCACATAGGATGAGGCTAAAATAGTTAATGGTCCTCTGTGTCACCCTCTCCCCAGGTGTCCATTGCCTCCTTGGCTCAGAAGGCCCCCTAGACACTGGTGGGACTTCACTGGGTCAATTACATGGTCCGCTGGGAAGTGGAGTCAAAGCTCTTCGTTTTTCGTTTTTTTTTTTTTTTTTTTTTTAATTTATTTAAGGCTATGAACAGCTTATAAACAGATATGCCATCTTCATGGTTGTTTCTTCTTCAAAAATTGTTCTACTGATTTTTAATTTTTAATTTTTGAGAATTTCGTACAGGAGTGCGGTCTCTTCATTATTCCCAGGCCCTTGCTCTTGGTGACACAAAGGTGAGCAGTGGCAGACAATCCTAAGGGGTCAAAGTGCTGCAGTGATGGCAGAAACAGTTTTTTAGCAGAAGTGAAGGAGAACAGCCTTTGGATCAAATTAACAAAAAAAGTATTGGAGAAATGAAAAATTACCCCAGCTAATACAGTCACTAAAAACATGGACCATTGGTAGGGAAGTGCTTTGGCAGTACTTTTCAGAGCAACAGGGCCTCGGGAGTGATGCCAGGCAGGATCGGGGGCGAGGGGAGCAGGCAGAGGAGGGCAGGGTGACTTCTCTATAGCAAGTGTAAGCTGGAACCCGAGGCCATGATCCCAGTCATACTGTGCAACGCTTGCCTCCCAGGTGACTGCACTGACAGAGGACAGAAGACTTCAGGCTTTCATATTCTATTCTTACTGAGAAATTAATTTGGCAATTACCAGAGTTTCTACAAATTAGCTCAACTTTTAGAGTTATGAATTTGTTGTCGGTGTGTTCAAACTTAAGTGGACACATTCTAGCCTGGCCTGGGGCTAAAATGGGGCACAGTCAACCTGTGGCCTTCTTGCCCAGCCAACTCTAACACACTGTGTCCACTTCAGACAGGGTACATGCCGCCCTGCCCTGTAAGAGCCACGTGACTAATGGTAACCAGTGGAAGAAACATGGCACAGTGCCTGGCCAGTGTGTTGTCATTGTCACCTTGTTCTTGGGTGGGATGTGTCTCTCAAGGTTTCATGTGCTAGAAGCTGCCCCGGTGTGGTGATGTTGGGATGGTGGCACCTTTAAGAGCTGGAGCTAAACAGCAGATGATTAGGTCATGGACCTAAGAGAGCAGGCGGTGATGGTAACCAGTGGAAGAAACATGGCGCAGTGCCTGGCCAGTGTGTTGTCACTGTCACCTTGTTCTTGGGTGGGATGTGTCTCTCAAGGTTTCATGTGCTAGAAGCTGCCCCGGTGTGGTGATGTTGGGATGGTGGCACCTTTAAGAGCTGGAGCTAAACAGCAGATGATTAGGTCATGGACCTAAGAGAGCAGGCGGTTATAAAGCAAGGCTACCCACCATGCTTGGCTACTCTCTTCCTATTCCTCTACTACTTAGGATTCAGCCAAGGGACACTTGCCAGGATGCTGGTACTATGCAATCGGTCCTCCTGAACTATGAGCTAAAGAAAGTTATTTATAAAGTACTCAGCCTCAGTTATTTGGTTATAGTAACAGAAAAGAGACTAATGCATCATTACTATGATCACAATTGGATTAAGTCCCAAGGCTGTGGTACAGGCCTCAATCTGTATCAACACTGACTCTTTCTAGAATACACTTACTGTAAAGATATCAGAACCCAACTCTCCAAGACCAGATCTCATAGATTAGATTGACATATGACTTCTTCAAACTCATGTGTTTACTCAAGTAGCTGTTTACCTACTTGACCTTGTCTGAACAGCCAGGACCCACTACCCAGAACATCCACCTCACCAGCAGACACAGAATTGAAGCTCTGGGATCTCAGAAGTCTTCTCTGTGCACATGGCCACACAGTGCTGGGCCTGTTCCTGCTCTTCTAGATCATCACAGACATTGTCGAACAATAGGGGCTTCCTCCTTCAGTTGACATCCACAACCACCCGTGACAAGCTGTGAGGAAGTAGAGGATCCCCAGTGCTGCTCCCTTTTCCACCCTCCTCTGATGTCTGCTAGATACAGGGCACAGAGCACTGTGGCTGAGGAGTTACAGCAGAGCATCAGAGACATGCTCCAAATGTTGGGCTCCCTGGTAGAGGACGAAGTGCTACACGTTGGAAAACTCCTTGTGAATCAAAGTTGGGAAAAAGAAAGCTATAAAATGACCTTACAGAATCCACTAGAAGGAATGAGGGAAGGGAGAAAGGGAGGGAGGGAAGGGACAGGAGGAAAGGAGCCATGGGGCAGGACTGGCTGCTCCACTGTCTGAATACTTTTATAAACTGGCTGTTATACTGTAATAGGTTCATTTAAAACTTAGAAGGTAAGTAACTACTGGAGATGCACTGTTAAAGTGCACGCTAGAGAGAGAGGCCTCTTACACTGAGCAGCTGCCTTGTGCAGACTGTTGCCGCCTGCAAGCTTGGGATCTATAGCCGACAGACATTTTAGGAGCATATACCTAACTCAAGCAGTGACAGACCACAGTAAGCATGTCACACCTCACAGATACAGAATGGACACTTGCTTGGATCAGGTAACATACCAGGCACTGAACACAGCCCTACTGTCTGGGCCCCACTATGGTCCATGGGGCTGATGTCATTGTCCCCACTCTGCAAGTCTGTCTTGTGTAACTCATTTGTGGGCATAGTACTGCCTGATGGGCAGCCATGGGGTTTCAAGGTCAATCATCTAGAAGCGTCTCTGCACTCTACAGGCTGTTGTGTTCTGTATCTGTCTCTGGACCCAACACCTGTGGATGAGGACATTTGTTCACACCTAATTCCCAACATAGGCATGCTCCCCACAGGCCTGTGGAACAGGCTGATTCACAGCACTGTCTTTCTGAGTTCTTACCTATGCAATGAATGGAATTCCGGTGTCTTAGTCAAGTCTCATGCCTGCTGTTTAATGGACATTTGGTGAATCAACGTGTGATCACAACATGACCACACACAAATATCAGAGTATTTTAAGGTGACAACAAAACATCAACCACCGGAACAGGGTCAGTTGCGGGCTTTAGAGCAACAGTCTAATAGGTGAACCACAGAGCAGAATCCAGGGACATGGTGGATCCTGTGCCACTGCGTATTTAGAAAAGAGGTAGAGATTTCAGTATTAAAAGACTCAAATATTTGCTTAATGCTGTGCACACGTCCTTCTGAAAGAAGGGAGCTCTCTATGAGTCAGGCTAACATTCTTATAAATTGTTGGATTTGATCATTATTTATTAAAAATTTTAATGTGCAGGCAGACTTGCCTAGCAATTCTTCCTGTAGGAACCCATCCAAAACTCTGTTTGGGTACTGAAGGCAGTCCCGTGCACCAGGTCACACCAGCTCACTAGCTCCAAGGCCCTCTGCAGCATTCATCCTACTGGCTGCAAAGGACTTAGGCTTTTTCAGAAGCACAGTGCTGTCTAATTTAGGAACGTCTGTGCTATTCAGAGCACGTTCCACCTGCAATTCATTCCTAATGTGCTCTGCCAGCGATTGCAGCCGGTAGCTCCCTGGGCACAATTCTATGTGAAGCTAATTACTGGCACCAGGGACTTGCAGGACAGAAGAAGGGAAATAACAATACGTAGAGAAACCACAAAGACTGTACTGTGGATTTGAACCCGAACTCATGAATTTAAGCAAAGTCAGAAAGCAGACATGAGTGGTTCTGACTACTGACATTCTGGCTTGGGGGAAGGAGGAGAATCAGACGTTCGTGACAAGGTCTGGCTCCTCCCAACTACAACACAGATAGGGGCTTGTTGCAAACTTCCTGGGTCACCCTAGCCACTCAATGATGGCAAAGAAACAATGCTTTCACCTAACTCAGACTGTCACAAACAGGGATGAGGCTCCTCCCTGGAAACCCACAAGCCTGGTAACCACCATAGGATTCATCATACGGATCAGTGACAAGTTTAATGTCAATAGCTGATTAGAACTGATACATACTTAAAAATCAGCAAAGAAGTCTGCACTGTGAGAATGATCTGCCAGAGACGAACCTGCCACCCTCATTCCCCAGGTGACGTAAGGAAGCTTTTGAAAGTTTCAAAATCAATAAAAAGATGAAAGCAGGAGAAGGCTGTCAGCAGTGCGGCTGCTAAAGGTGTCCACTGCCCACTGTTGTTTGCTAATGCCCCATTGTGTGTACAGACTTAAAATGAGAGCACAAGAGCAATTCGGAGCTTCTGCACCCTCACACGACCCAGCCATCATTGGCTCAACTATCATGGCATGGGTGAAAATGGTGGCTACTTCTAGAACAGACTATACCTTGCCTGTCAATCGTGTATGAGAAACTTCATGTCAATCCTGTAAAAAGTGAACTCATCTCTGGTAGACAACAGAGAAGTTGCAAAGAAAATGTGATCTATCCATATGATGAAAAATCATTCAGCCCTAACAAAGGAGGAAATATTGTAGTTGTTATAATGGGGATGAATGCCTGATATTAGGCTCAGTGAAATATGTCACAAAAAGACAAATACTATACGATTCATAGTGCCAGGGGTGGGGAAGGGAGAACAGGCAGTTAAATGTCTAATGGGTTCAGATTTTCAATTTGGGAGGAGGAAAACACTATGGAAATGGACGGTGGTGGTAGTTACAGAGCCATGTGAAAGTACTTGGGGCCACTGACCTGCACACTGCAAGGTGACTACGGTGGTACATTCTGTGCTACATGTATTTTACCACCATTTAAAAAAGAGAGAACTCACCTTTGAAGTTGCCAATGTACAGGCCAGGCAGGATCTGGAAGAGAGACACAGACGTGAGTGTCAGAGGCCCCCTAAGGGACAGCGCTGCTGATGAAGAGGTAATGTTCTCAACAGGGTAAATGCTGCACTGTGCCAGCCCAGCCCAGTCCCATCACCTACCACACCCACTTCCCAGCACCTGCCCTAATAAAGGGCATAGGGACCACATTTCTAGAAGTCTGACCACAGCTACTAGGAAACCTGTACAAAGGGCCTGTGAACAGTTACACTGTGGCACCCCTCAACTTCCTTGAGTTTAGGGCTCAGATGGCACAGTGCTCTGGGGTTATCCAGACAGAATGCTTTTCCTTCTGTCTCCTGCCTGCCCTTCCCCCACTACATTCCCCTCACTGCCCTGCCAAACATGGCCGCCACCGCCCAAGGCCTTTGTACATAGTACCCACGGCAAAATGGCCACTATCTCGGTACCCACAGTGCTCTGTGACCCCATTCAGCGATGCAGTGACAAGCCTGTTTCTCTGCTGTACTAGAAAACTCCTTGGGCTAGTCAAGCCATCAGTCCCACCATGTCCTCTATAGATGACTTAAGCTGAGCTAAGATGCTGAGGAAGATGGTTTTTACAAGGACTCCATGATGGGCAAAGTACTGAGCAAATCCTAAACTTGCCAGTCCTTTCCAAGAACAGCATACTCCAATTATGAATGTGCTCCGGAAGCTAGGAGTATGTCCAGTGACCTCCCTGCTATGCTTTCCAGTCGTACTTGCTTGTTGGTTCTGCACACACCCAGATGCTCTAGTCACAGCCTCCTGTCCTCTGCCTCCTCAGTGCAAGCCTCTCATGGCTCCTACTTTTATGAAGCAGAGTGAGGCAAGTACCAGATCATTCCCATTTTAAAACAAAACAGTGTATGTTCATCTTGGAGATGGACAAGCTGCTGTTCCTCAGCATCTTTTGGCTGCCGGGAGCTTTTCTACCTGCATCTCCCATTCCCAAGGTCTCTTGCCTTCATTAGGTGGTAACATTTGATTGTAAAGAGCACATTTATCACATGGCTTCTTGGGTGGATGGTTATACTTTCTGTGATACTGGGTAAACAGATGGTCATATTGTATTCCATTACAATTCAACCATAGGAAAATTATTCTGACATTTGTCAAAAATGGCAAGGAAGGCTTGATTCAAGGCTGTTTAACATGGGGAAGACTGAGCTCAACTCCCCATATAACAAGGGCAGAGTGAGGGAGTGTGCTGGGGGACCCTGCTGCTAGGGTTGTAGTCCTCCATGTCCAGATAGCTCTAAGGGGCTCAGACGTATATGGAAGGACTCCCTTTCTCAGCAGGGGCCTCCTGCTCTCTGCCTGACTTACCTGGAAAGTGCCGCCAAGCATGGATGCCTGACCTTATTTGGAACATGGCCTTTGGAATAGTTACCTGGAGTAAAAACTACCCCCAGGTTTTTTCTATGTGATAATTAGGCATTGCCCCATAGTCAAATGATAGGATCCCACTACCACATGTAAATAAAGCATACTATGAGCACCCATCAGCTGAAGCATTGGCT